TCTGCCAAGTTTTTGATACCTAGAGTCTATATAGTCTACAGAAGAGCATTATGGCCATGTAGATTTTTTTTCGTTTTCTCGCGTTAGTAACTTTAAATATATAACGACGAAATTTCGAGTTGCTAACATGAAGAAACGTTTTTTTATACTTTCTACATGGTCCTATTGCTCTTCCGTATGCATCGCCTGAATGTGGTAAATCTCTGTTCCCGACAGTCACGCATGTCTACGACCATATCACAGTTCACCGAATGATTTTGACCTTTGACCTACATGTACATCCAACTCTGATGGGTATCTGTGATATACATGTGGTTGATTTGTATGGAGTTTTACTTCCGATGACCTGTCCAAAAGGACTTTTTAATTATTTCCCTGACACTGAACTTAGTTTTGACATCCAAAATACAAGAGGCTCACCTGGATATCAAAAGTAATCATGGCAAAATATTCTCCAAATAAGATCCATGGGAATGGGCCAGACCCCAAGGCCAATCCTTGTATCATATTTGTGTTAGATTTTTCATGCCCAGCAATTTTATGTATGGTTATGGGGTGGGGATCGCAACTGTTTCCAAGGTGTGATTCAGAAACTAGGTCCCTCGGGTTGTGGCCAGACCCCAGGATCAATTATGATATCATGACTGCATTCGTCTATTTATGCCCAACAATTGTATATACAGTTTTGGGGTGGGGATCTTAACCCTTTCAAAGTTATGACCCAAGGGTTAAGTCTCCAAGGGTGGGGCAGACCCTGGGATCAATTCTTATATCATGACTACATTCGTCTCTTTATGCTCAGCATTTGTATATACAGTTTTGGGGTGGTGATCTCAACCGTTTCAAGGCTATGACTATGTCTCCAAGAGTTGGGCCAGACCCCTGGGCAATCCTGGAAGCATATGTGCATTCGTCTCTTCATACTAAGCAATTGTATATATATGGTAATAGGGTGGGGATCTCAACCATTTCCAAGCAATAAACTATGTTTTGCCCCACATACTAGCTAAGGGGGTCAGCCCCACCATTTGTATAATTTGAATCTCTGCCTCCCATGAATGCTTCCAAACAAATATGATTGATATCCAGAGCATAGTTCTACAGAACAAGTCATTTATAGCAATAAAGCCAAATTGCCCCCTTTTGGCCATGCCCCTCAGCCCCCTGGGGGTCAGTCCCACCATTTGTACATTTTTGAATCCCCACTACCTAGGGATGCTTCCAAACAAATATGGTTGATATAAATCTCTCAGTTCCAAAGAAGAAGGGTCGCTTAAAGAAATTTAGCCAAATAACCCTTTTAAGCCCCGCCCCTCAGCCCTCTGGGGGTCAGCCCCACCATTTGTACACTTTTGAATCCCCGCCTCTCATGAATGCTTCTGACCAAAGATGATTGATATCAAGTGGATAGTTCTACAGGAGAAGTCGTTTATAGCAATAAAGCCAAATTGACCCCTTTTTGGCCCGCCCCTGAGCCCCCTTGGGGGTCAGCCCCACCATTTGTACAATTTTTAATCCCCACTTCCTAGGGATGCTTCCAGTCAAATATGGTTGATGTTCATCTTTTAGTTGTAGAAAAAAGTTGCTTAAAGCAATATAGCCAAATAACCCTTTTTGGCCCCACCTCTCAGCCCCATCACTTGTACAATTTTGAATCCCCATCACCTAGGGATGCTTCCAGTCAAATATGGTTGATTTCCATCTGTAAGTTGTAGAGAAGAAGTTGCTTACAGCATTATAGCCAAATAACCCTTTTTGGCCCCGCCCCTCAGCCTCCTTGGAGGTCAGCCCCACCATTTGTACAATTTTGAATCCCCGCCTCCCATGAATGCTTCTGACTAAATATGATTAATATCCATTGCACAGTTCTACAGAAAAAGTCATTTATAGTAATATAGCCAAATTGTCCCATTTACGCCCCGCCCCTCAGCCCCCTTGAATCCCAACCACCTAGGGATGCTTCCAGTCAAATTAAATTAAATTCCAATCAGTGGTTAAGAAGGAGACGTCGTTTAAAGATATTGTTGACGTACAGACGACGGACGGACGGACGAAGGATGCCACGGTATGGCATAAGCTCACCTTGGTCCTTCGGACCAGGTGAGCTAACAAGAGGTCCATAGGGCCTGTATCGCTAACCTGAATATTTAAACATTGTTGGGCTCAATTCCAAGAAGCAACCATCCAAATAATATGATTATATGCATTCCCATTATTCAGAAAAAGTTGTTTGATAAGTTTGACATATTTGACCCCTGTGACCTTGATAGTAGGTCAAGGTCATTTTCATTCTCAAACTTTGTCAGGAATTATCCAAAAAAGCTACCAGCCAAATATTAAGATTCTATACCTTTCAGTTCTTCAGCAGAATTGTTTAAAGTGTTTGACATAGTTGACCACTGTGACCTTGAAAGTAGTTTGAGGTAATTTTCAATAGCAAACTTTGTCAGGCTACATCTGTGATAGTTAACAGCCAAAAAACATAATTCTATGCCTTTAAACTATTCAGAAGAAGTCATTTGGCTTTATTGCTATAAATGACTTGTTCTGTAGAACTATGCTCTGGATATCAATCATATTTGTTTGGAAGCATTCATGGGAGGCAGAGATTCAAATTATACAAATGGTGGGGCTGACCCCCTTAGCTAGTGTGTGGGGCAAAACATAGTTTATTGCTTGGAGTGTTAAATTTGGCCCCTTGTGACCTTGATGGTAGGTCAAGGTCATTTTCGTTCTCAAACTTACCAACAAAGCTTACCAACCACATATTATGATTCTATACCTTTCAGTTCTTCTTCAGAAGTTGTTTAAAAGTTGGACACTTTTGACCCCTGTGACCTTGATAGTAGGTCAATGTCATTTTCATTCTCAAACCTTGTTGGGCTTTTACCAACGAAACTTACCAACCACATATTAGGATTCTATACATTTCACTTCTTCAGAAGAAGTTGTTTTGAGTATTTGATACGTTTGACCCATATGACCTTGAAAGAAGGTCAAGGTCATGTTCGTTATCAAACTTTGTTGGGCTCTTACAAATGAAACTAACAGCCAAATATTAAGATTCTATACCTTTCAGTTCTTCAGAAGTCGTTTTAAGTATTTGACACTTTTGACCGCTGTGACCTTGAAAGTGCGTCTGTGTCAGTCATTTGAACATGATAGCCCTCCATTCCAGCAAATACTACAGATGAGATATTCTCCCAAGCGGGTTTGTCTTAATACCCAATACACAGGTATATCTACCCACAGTACAGGTATGTCTTATTACCCAATACACAGGTATAGCCACAGTACAGGTATATCTTATTACTCAATACACAGGTATATCTACCCACAGTACATGTATGTCTTATTGCCCAATACATAGGTAAATCTACCCACAGTACAGGTATGTCTAATTACCCAATATACAGGTAAATCTACCGACAGTACAGGTATGTCTTATTACCCATTACACAGGTATATCTACGGACAGTACAGGTATGTCTTATTACCCAATACAAAGGTATATCTACTTATAGTACAGATATGTCTTATTACCAAATACACAGGTATATCTACCTACAGTACAGATATGTCTTATTACAAAATACACAGGTATATCTACCTACAGTTCAGGTATGTCTTATTACCTACTACACAAGTATATCTACCTACAATACAGGTATGTCTTATTACCCAATACACAGGTATATCTATGCACAGTACATGTAACTCTTATTACTCAATACACAGGTATATCTACCGACAGTACAGGTATGTCTTATTACCCATTACACAGGTATATCTACGTACAGTACAGGTATGTCTTATTGCCCAATACAAAGGTATATCTACTTATAGTACAGATATGTCTTATTACCAAATACACAGGTATATCTACCTACAGTTCAGGTATGTCTTATTACCTACTATACAGGTATATCTACCTAAAGTACAGGTATGTCTTATTACCAAATACACAGGTATATCTACCTACAATACAGGTATGTCTTGTCACCCAATACACATGTGAATCTACCTTAGGTACAGGTATCACATTACTGAATACACATACATTTTAGACAACACATACCAGGTATGTAAATGCTATGGTTTTTAATTACAACCTCCACGTGCACTGACCTACTTTAATTTGGATTCCTTTATAATCACTGTATGTCTGTCGGTTACCTCGCTCAACAGGGAAGTTATTAACTTTGTACAACTGCAGGTCTAAACAGGTAGATCCACGCATTGCCGCAGTGATGGACTTATCTAGAGCAGAAATATGTTGATATAACTTACCACTCGGTAGCATTGTCAATTTAGCCTAACGTTTGACTTAAATCAAGTTTTGATCAAACTTTTACAATGTCAGAAGGAAAGTGACAGATTTATCAGCAAAGCTAGAGGGAAGTTCATCATGTGATTGTGCATTCCAGGGCTGGATAAATATGGACGATGTAAGTGAACATTGAGAAGTGTGGAATGGAAAACTTGGATTCATCATCACAGTAACCCTGTAACATCAGTGATCGTGAGGTAGTTATTCTCATATACTACTGGATGTGACAGTTGTAAGTCAAGTTTTCCTTTCTTTACATAACAAACTCTTATTTGTGAGTATTTATTGATAACACTATATTGATACAAGAACAACAAAAAGGCTTCAACAAATAATTAAGCTTTTCATAAAAATGGCGATCCCGAAAAGCCAAACTTCTCCCCGTATAAAAGGTCAAACGACATGTTTTCACCACAAGGGGAGAGAACTAGAAATGTATTGTGAAAAATGTCAGGAACTGGTTTGCCTAAAATGTCTTTCTTCTATTCACAAAATCCATCCAGTTTGTGAGCTAAGTGAAATCACTCCTCAGAAAGAACCAGACATTAAAAACTTTATAGACAGAACAGAAAAAAATGACCTTGTACAAATTGGAAAATACATCACCACTACCTATACCCTGCTTAAAGACAACACCAGTACTTTTGAGAAGCTGTCACAAAAGTTAAAGATGCAAACAGATAAATTAAAACACGATCTGGACATGCTAACAGCACAGACACTCTCTCTTTACCACAAAATGGAGGCGGATAATACCAAGCTGATAAAGAAATACAAACAGGACTTGGAGATGTACGAGAAGCAACTCAAACAACAAATACAGGAATGTAAAGCAGCTCTCCAGCGTGGTTCACACTTACAGATATATGATGCATATTGTGATATCCATTCTCCCTCATACAGTCTCCCTGTAAAACCTGTCATGGGTACTGCCAACTTCACTCCAAATGAAAGTCCTCAAGATCACTTGAAAAAAGCCTTGGGAAGAGTTATCACCTCCGGTCAAGGTCAAACTTTAACTGACCACGATCGGTCAGTTTCAACATCTGATGATCTGGAACAACTCTCTACACAACAACAATGGTCAGAAGCAAAAGTGAAGAAAGCAGTGACAACATACAAACTACTGCCACAGACCAAGGTATTGGAGGAGTGGGAGTCATGGGACATGGATTCTTTATGTCCCACCACTGATGGTCAGGTGTGGACCAAGCGCAATTGCACATTAACTCTCCTCGACAGGAAGGGTAAAATAATACAGCAGGTCAGCCACAATGTCGAGATCAACGACATCAGTCTGTCACCCACAACACTCACACTGTGGGTCTGTGGCGGACGCAACATCATGGAACTGGAATCAGGACGCCTGAAACACAGATTCAGAACCAAGGAGGTACCCTTGTGTATATGTATTACAGCCAGTAACCATGTCATTGTAGGGATGGCCAAACACATCTCCAAATTTACCACAGATGGTAAAATGGTGTGTACTACAATGGATAAAGTTACTGGGAAACCATTAGTGTGTTCACCACACAGGATCGCAGAGTGTCCCGTCACTCACAATGTGGCAGTCGCTGATATCAGTCGTGAAAAAGATGATGGTGATGGAAAACCACATGTTGATGTGATAGACACTGATTTCAACGAGCTGTTTGTATATAGAGGTGACATCCCCAGTACATATAGACCAACACCACAAACAGGAGGTAAACTATTTATCCCCCATGGTGTGGTGTATGACAGCGTGGGGAACCTGATCATAGGGGACTGGAGCACCTGCAGGGTCCTACTCATTGGTGGAGGTGGTGAGTTCCTCAGGGTCATACACACAGACACACGCTATACAGCAGCTGTAGGTATAGACAGGGAGGATGTCCTGTGGGCAGTGTTTAGTTATGAAAAAGTCGCACTACTACAGTACAGCAGTAAGTGACACCTGTAGTGTAACCAAACAACTAGTATATCTAGTTACCATGACAATGACACAGAAATCAGAGACAAAGTCAACTTATCATGATTACCAATCAGCTAACGGTGTGTGGCATTCACAGGATTACAAGTAAAATGTCTATACTACTGATTGTGTGAAATTCACAGTGTTGTAAGTGAAATGTCTACACTACTGATTGTGTGAAATTCACAGGATTGTAAGTAAAATGTCTAGACTACTGGTTGTGTGACATTTACAGGATTGTAAGTGAAATGTCTAGACTACAGATTGTGTGACATTCACAGGATTTTAAGTAAAATGTTTAGACTACAGATTGTGTGACATACACAGGATTATAAGTAAAATGTCTAGACTACAGATTGTGTGACATTCACAGGATATTGCGTAAAATGTTAAGACTAAAGATTGTAAGACATTCACAGGATTGTAAGTGAAATGTCTAGACTACAGATTGTGTGACATTCACAGGATCATAAGTGAAATGTCTAGACTACAGATTGTGTGACATTTACATGATTATTGGTAAAATGTCTAGACAACTGATTGTATGACATTCACAGGAGTTTAAGTGAAATGTCTAGACTACAGATTGGGTGACATTCACAGGATCATAAGTGAAATGTCTAGACTACAGATTGTGTGACATTCACAGGAACATAAGTGAAATGTCTAGACTACAGATTGGGTGACATTCACAGGATCATAAGTGAAATGTCTAGACTACAGATTGTGTGACATTTACATGATTATAGGTAAAATGTCTAGACAACTGATTGTATGACATGCACAGGATTTTAAGTGAAATGTCTAGACTACAGATTGTGTGACATTCAGCGGATCATAAGTGAAATGTCTAGACTACAGATTGTGTGACATTTACATGATTATAGGTAAAATGTCTAGACAACTGATTGTATGACATTCACAGGATTTTAAGTGAAATGTCTAGACTACAGATTGTGTGACATTCACAGGATTTTAAGTAAAATGTTTAGACTACAGATTGTTTGACATTTGCAGGATTATAAGTAAAATGTCTAGACTACAGATTGTGTGACATTCACAGGATATTAAATAAAATGTTAAGACTACAGATTGTAAGACATTCGAAGGATTGTAAGTGAAATGTCTAGACTACAGATTATTAGACATTCACAGGATTATGAGTAAAATGTCTAGACTACAGATTTTTTTTATAATTAGGATTATTATTTTGAGACCAAATGGCCTATACAACTCAACTACCAATCAACTACTTTTCAGTGTTCTTTGCAAGCAAATCTGTGACCTTTAAAATGGATCGTATATAATACCACGCTATACCTGGGTATAGATGATAAAATGTTCCATTTGCTTATACACACTTGATAGATACAGGCCAAATATTATTTAAGAGTCGGTAAAATCCTCAGAAAAACACTTTACAATCTTTCTGCACAATATACTTATTGGGAAAACTGACTGAGAAGTAGGTCAAGGTTATTGATTCGAACAAACTTGATCTTACTTTTTGGTAAATCTGGCATTCTGCCAGCCAAATATCATGACCCAGGCTGATTGATTAATCAAAAGAGACTTTTAAAATATTAACATATAACTGTCCCTTATGACCTTGAAAGTAGGCAAAAGTCATGTATACGAGAGAAATTTAAAGCACAGTAGTATACCTGAGGTACCTACTGGCTGACTATCAGGTCCCGGGGTGTATATATATAATGGTACTGAAAAAGAGGCTTCTTGTAGATATTTATTCTAAAGTCCATGATGACATATTTTACACTGGCCAACTCTCAAAGTTAACCTTTCACCTAAACACAAACTTTAGCGGAAAAATATTGTACATTGCTGGTCTATATAACATACCAGAGTATAATGGCTCTAGACCTTTTAGTTCTTAAGAAAATGCTGCTTGAATTAGCACTCCATCAAAGATACCTATTAGTAAAATATCAGGACCCTGGCCCTATGTTACTAAAGAAGAAGATTTACAATACCTGTCATACAACCAACATTTTTTTAAATGAAAAATATTTTTTGTCATTTAATTTTCTCTAAAAGGATTTAGTATCCCCCAAAACCCTCAAGGGCAAAATCGTGAGACCCAAAGAAATGAAATAAACATTTTTTTTATGTTTTTATTAACGATTTACACACAATCAATTCTCAATGATCATCCTTGACCTGGTTTTTTACATGGTGAGCTAAATATAGTTGTGCTCACAGAATACAGTTCCAGATTCTGCAGCTTGTATGGCAGTGCTTCAATCAAGCAATGAATGTTTTAGCCAATTATTGTCCTATAACAAACACTGCTATTAATGACAAAGTTAACAAAGCCCAGCAGGGCTTGATGTAAGTTTGTCAGCAATAGAAATGTATGTTATAGGACTATAACAACATTTGATTAAATATTCATTATTTATATTTACATTTTGATGTGGTAGTTACGTTTTATTTAGTTATTTTGATCAGTTCTTTGAACAGCAAATTAAGTCTTGACAACAATGAAGTTGATGACGTCACAATAGAGATCGATGACGCTACAATAGCAAACGTTGTTATAGTCTCGTAACAACATTTGCCTTCTCAATGCATTGCAATGGAAGGATGCAGAGCTAATGTAAATATACACATTTATCATTGCAGTTATTTAGTTTTTGATATGCTGGTAATACCAATAAACAACATTTATCACATAACTGACCTATTGTTCTTTGTTATATGTCATAAATATGGTAATCCACACGTGTAATAAAACCTAAAGGTGCTGTGATTGGTCAAAACCTTGTCATTGGGAACATATTCCTACGCCACTACAGGTACTGTACTTTTATTTATTACATCATTGTTCCAAGAGGTTCTGCAACATTTTAAAATGTAGAAGTGTCAAGAATTGATTTTAAAGTTGAACTTGAACGAAATCGTATGGAGAAGGTCACTGTTACACTGAGGCCCGGCAAAAACAGCAACCGGGGCAGACGTCAAACTTGGAAGCTGGGGCTGACAAACCCCATACAAACAGATTTGATACCGTAAATGAAGAGAAAGTGGGAAAATTTATCTTCAACCAACACCTTTCTGCTTCCTAATGTCTCCCTTGACAATGCCCCACTTTGGCCTTTAGTAGAGCGTTCGCCCCTGTGAAAAAGGCTTTGGGTTCTGTCCCCTGGCCAGAGTCTGTAACAAGAGGCCCAGAGGGCCTGTATCGCTCACCAGAATATGTTTAAAATAATTGGTATGAAGTAAAGATATATATAGGTGCTGTAAGTACATATGAAATTTCAGAAAGATCCATCCAGTACTTGAAATATAGTGTGAACAAATTTCAAACAGAGACCAAACCCAAGCCCCTAGGGGGTCATACCCACCTTTTAAAAAAAAAGTCCCCTTGACCAAAGGATGCTCCAGACTAAATAAGGATAAAATCCCTTAATCCTGATGGTAGAAAAAGGATTTTAAAGGTTTTACCTCTATTTCTCCTTTTGGGCCCCGCCCCTCAGGTCCAAGGGGGGCCCCACCCACCGTTTATACAAAATTGGTTCCCCTTTACCCAAGGATGCTCCACACCCAATATGGACCAAATCCTTTCATTCCTCCTGAAGAAGAAGGAATTTAAAGAATAATTTGCTGTTTTCCATATAGGGCCCCGCCCCTCAGGCTCCTTGGGGGCCAGACCAAATGTTTATATGAAATTGGTTCCCCTTCACCTAAGGATGCTTCAGACCAAATATGGAACAAATCCTTTCATTCCTACAGAAGAAGAAGGATTTTAAAGAATTTGCTATATTTCCCCTATTGGGCCCAGCCCCTTAGGCCCCTGGGGGCCAAACCCACGGTTTATACAAACCTTGGCCCAAGGATGCTCCAGACTAAATAAGGATGAAATCCCTTAATCCCTACGATAGGAGAAGGGTTTTGAAGGTTATACCTCTATTTCCACTATTCGGTCCCGCCCCTATGCCCCAAGGGGGGCCACGCCCACCATGTATACAAAATTGAGTCCCCTTGGCCTAAAGATGCTCCAGACCAAATTTAGTCAAAATATACTTGGCCGTTCAGGACTAGTAGCGTTTTAAAGGAAAAGTTGACGGACGGACGGACGACGGACGCTGCACCAGGACATAAGCTCACTTGCCCTTTGGGCAGGTGAACTAAAAATGGTAGTTTCTACTCCTGCTTGACGCGCAGCATTTTAGGAGTGGAATGACTGGTTCGCCAGTTATCAGTATAATGTGACCGGGTGGAGTGTCCTGCTGGGTGTCTTCGGCAGTATGTTTCAGTGAGGTAGCACTATAAAGCCAGCATCAGTTCAGCGCTATCACAAGGAGACAAACATGAGCATATCGCAGCCTCCCAAAACACACAAGCATACACTACACGCATGCATCTTGCACACAGGGGAGGCCGTCCTTAAATGACCATAGGTGTTGTTTGGACGTTAAACAATACTTAACCAAACCAAACCTAATTTTAATACTCTGAGCAAAACATGCTGCGATCTGAAGCTGTTGTATCAATTTTTCAAGTTGTCTGAAGTCAAAGAAATTAGAACAAGAGATCCCAGAGGGATCTTGGCACCCACCATCGTACCATCGTCTTGGCGCCCACCATCGTACCATCTTCTAGGCGCCCACCATCGTACCATCTTCTTGGCGCCCACCATCGTACCATCTCCTTTGTTCTGTTAGTTTGATCTGTTCTCATCTTTTCTCATATCTGTTTGATCGATTTATGTAAACAGTTAATGCACCTTGAGGTAACTTTTGATCTAAACTACATACTGCAGTGTATAAAAGCCAACCTTCAAAGTGAGTTTGTTGTTTCACATATTTACTAGTACAGTACTTAATGTGAAAGAAATAGAACCGATCATTGCAATATGAGAAAGATCTGTCAAGGACTTCCTGGGAAATAGTGATAACGATTCTTGAAACGTCAAAATCGAAGATGACCGCCTACGACCATCTGATTTTTTTAAGATG